TCTTGAAACCTTAAATTTGTCTCTCGAAAGACAAATTTACGGTTTCAAGAAGGCAAAGACCTAAAAGAACGTTGATTTTTACCAATCATGAGTTTGTGTAAATTGTAAATCTGATGATGGCGCTGTTGTCTCGCCGAAACGTAATGAAATCAACGATGTCAAAAAAACACTCAAATTGTCCCTCTATATCCGCAGAGCGCTTGCAAAGCCCCAAACGTAAAACTCCCCAAAAATCCCTTAATACGAACCTAAGGGGGAGTTATGAAGTAGTTGGCAACTTTACGGTACAAACCACTCGGTACTTTTGCAACGAAACGGTATATCAAAGCAAAATTCCTAGTGAAGATTTGCAAGGCCTCAGTTTCACAAATTGCCAACAACTGGTCCAGTTTGCTGCAACCTGCAAGCTTAAATGGCAAAATACACCGCGATTGAGAAGTAGAGGAGAAAAGAACAGTCAGTGCTAGTTGTTAAAGCAGCCAGTCACGACGTGAAGACCTTTTGCGCAAATTCCACTCTTCTCCTGAGTTCAAATGAAGTCGAGAAGAAAACTAAACGTCTTCAAAATCCCTGAATGGTGTCCTGCTGCGCCCTCAGACTTCACAGAAGACAATCAATCAAACAAAGACTTGTTTTAGACACAAAGACAAATTTTAAATCCTGTTATTTTACAAAAAAGGTGGATATTCACATAACACTGTAGTAACCTAAAGCTGAAGATCCTCGGATGCTAGACCCGGTCGTTAACAAACTCGTCCTCCCTATGATCGTCCTCAGAAGCGATCAACTGGACAGTGGAGGCGACCCGTTTGGGGCGCGTCAGCTGCACCCCCTTGTAGATCAGAAACTGCAAATAGAACAGAACCGCTATCGCGGCCATCACCAAAGAGAACACCACGAAAATGATGATGTCCAGGCTGCTAACTGAGCCTGACTTGTCTACCATGCAGGTGTCGTGTAAGGTTGAGGCTGGTTTGGAGGCTGGAGGCAGCGCGCAAACCTGCCTCGTGGAGGCGTCATCCTCCAGCACGAACTTGAAGTTGTCGTTCTCGAATTCCGTTTCCATTTCGTCCTCCAAAGAGCACGGCAACTTATTGGATTCCAGTCTCAAGTAGGTCAATCCAGGCAAACGGGAAATAAGGGCGCTGTAGTCGAAGGTGCCAAGGGCGTTGTTGGAAAGATCCAGGAAATGCAGGTTTCTCAGCGGGAACACGCTGCTGATCACAATTTCCTCTATATGGTTGTGGGAGAAGTTCAAAGAGGTGAGCTGGGGCAGGCCGGAAAACCAGCCAGTCTTGAACTGCGACAGATTGTTGTACGGCAACTCCAGCTGCCGGAGGCTGAACATGCCCTCAAACATGTTGTTGCCGATGTCGCTGATGTTGTTGAAGCTCAACTGCAGCTCCTCCAAGGTGTCCAAGTGCGCCATTCCGAACTTCAGCTCCTCAATCTGGTTATGGGAGAGCGAAAGGCTTTTCAGCTGGTTCCCTGGCTGCATATGGATGGTGAAGTTATCAACCAGCAAGTTTGCTGAAAGGTTCAGCTGGTAGAGATTGGCCAGGGAGGAGAACTCGCTGCCAGACAACTGGTGGATGAGATTGTGCTCCATTTTGAGCACCTCCAGAGCGGTCAAGTTGACCAGACTCTGGTGAAGATCGGTGATCTGATTAAAGCCGAGATCCAGCAGCACGAGCTTTTGGAGGCCGCTGAAGGCGCGCGGGTCGATTATTTTGATGTTATTGCTGCGCAAATTCAGCACCGACAGCTGGAGCAATTCCGCGAATCCTCCCTCGACCAGAATGGAAATCTCGTTGTTTTCCAAATTGAGCTGCTCGATTTTCTTCGTCCCAATGAACGTACCTGGAGAAAACCCCAATCAACCCCAATCTCCTTAAGGAGGACCCACAGGTCGCCCAAAACTTACCAGGAAAAATGGATCGAATCTGATTGTTATTCAGTTGCAAGTGCTGCAGGAACACGAGCCCCATGAACGCTTTGGGCTTGAGCATTTCGACGCCGCTATTGGAGATATCCAGCACTCGAATCATATTTCCGGAAAGATCGAACGTATTGGATTCGATAATTTTCAGAGTGCAATTGAGGCATTTGAGTGTCTCGTCCAGGTGGTCGAATTTGTACAGGGTGAGCTTGAAGTAAGCGGGAGTGGCATTTACACAGGTTGCAGTCAAAGAGCCCCGTTCCCCATAGCTGCACTTCATTTTGTCGTTCAGTGTGGGCACTTCGAAAATGCAGCTGACCGCCGATAAGACGATTAGAAGCCCGAATGCTTTAAGCATCTGAAAGTCCAAGCAGAGAAGGGAATATTGACAATATGCGGCATCGATTCGCCTCAAAGAGGGCGGAAAGAAAACCGTTATTAAGCTGCGGAAAACAAGCCAAAGTGCCTCAAATTGGGTCAGATAGATAATCCACCTACTTACCCAAAATGTAATTGCGGTCATTTCCTTTTGCGTCACAATTCCCGGGATCGAATTTGTTCCGAATGCACTCGACGATGGTCAATTGAACCAACAAACCAATCCTAATGAACTGTTTATCTTTAATTAAATGATATATTTACTCTTTTATCAGCGATGTTGAGTAACGAAATAAAGAACTCTTATCGCCAATAACGCTTCATTACTGCAAACTGGTCCGATAGCTTCGAGGTAAATGTGGCGATAATTTCATCACACTCAGCAGATTTGCTTTTTTTAGGAAATTTCCCCATTCCAAAACTTTTGATTTGCCCAAAAGAGAATATTAAAAATTCAAAATTGGCGCCGTTTTTATTTACTCTAAAGCAGCATCCACACTTAGCAACATGTGGCATAACATTGTCATATGCTAGATGTTCACATAACTGAGGTTCGTCCACACTTTTACAGACAAAGGATGGATTTTTCCCGGTATTTTGTTGTAACCGTAAACTCTTTGGATTTTATTAATATAGTGTTGGACTTTGACTGTGTTAACTTAATTAAAATTGATAAAATTACTGGACTTATAGAGTTTGGTTTAGAAGAACTTAACGATGTGTTTTTTAACGTTACTCTATATATTATGTACACCAAATGGGGCGTTTTAATAATAAAAATGTATTATTGAGCAAATAGATAGTTGGCTTAAGTTATTTTCCTATGTGCAATGTGCAAACTTAATTAAAACAAATTATCAACGATTTTTAATTTTAAAGTAACAGAAAAAATAAAATTACTATTGTAAGAGTCAAGAAATATTGAGCAAAAGATTGGCTGGTATCTTCTGTTTCCATTTACTTTCTGTTTAACATGTCACACTAAGCAACACATGAAAATAATTGCCTTTTTACACTATTCGAACAAAAGTGGAATACCAACAACGTAGTTCGACTTTTTAGTAGGTAGTACTATGTGAATTAATTTAATTATATCAGGCGTATAAAATACTAGGATTTTTAATCAGAAATTTTAAATATTTTAACAATAATACAACATTTTTTTATTGCATTTTTAGTATTTAATGTTATAAGCACTCTTACTTGTTATTGCCACTTGGGTGATGTTTATTATAAGTTTCACCGATAAATAAATCTATGGAATGTATTTACTAACTTGAAAACTATCCAAATAAATGTATCGATGTATGTAAAGATATTCAATATACTGTCAAATATACAATAAACCAAACTTTTTAGGAGATTTATTTAATGGTTTAAGTTGCTTACTTAAATACTACGAATACGAAATCTAATACCTATTTAAGTTGATCAGAATAAATCATTTGTAAATTGTTATAAATTAAGAAATACTCATAATTATCACTGCCTTTCTTTGTGCTAATATAAAGGCAATGCTATTATTTTTGTTCCAACAAATTCAAACAATCCCTCTTATAAAATTAAAAAGTACTAGCCAAGAGCGTATAAAATTTACCTATAAATTTCTGTACGATACTATTTGTTTGTCATTGTTATCTAGAGCTTATATAAGGTTCGAAATGCACGAGAGAATGAAAAAAAAATGATTGGCGGACTCGCGGTTGTTTATCTCGACAAATTATAAAATAATTATCGCCGCAATCGATAGAAATGACAGGACGTGCCGTATACCTAAACGCTTGTCTAGATAACTTATATAGCAAGTGTGGATCCGGCTTTATAAATGTCAATTCAAACATTTTGCCTCTCTGCTTAACATCAACGGATTCCTATTTGCTGTCGCTTTCCCTGCTGCGCACCTCCACAATTGTCATCACCTTTTAGGTTAACCCAGCAATTTTAAAGTTTTCCCCAAGTTTCACCGATTTAAACCCCAAATGGCTGACCACAAACCCTTGTTTCGTGACCTGGACGGGGACGACGCCGACCCGGAAGCCACCATAGTCGAATCGTTGTGCATGAATTGCCAAAAAGATGTAAGTTCCGCTGCATGCGAAGCCCCAAGCTAATAGCGGGGTTTTAAGGGCCAAACCAGGTTGCTGCTGACGAAAATTCCCTTCTACAAGGAGGTGGTGATCATGTCGTTCACTTGCGAGCATTGCGGCTACCAAAACAACGAAATCCAGTCGAGCAGCGTTATTCCGGAAAAGGGGGTCAAAATCACCCTGACAGTGGCTAGCAAAGAGGACCTGAACAGACAGCTGGTTAAGAGCGACCACACCAGCACTCAAATACCGGAGTTGAGCTTTGAAGTGCCGTCACAAAGCCAGAAAGGAGGTGATCACTTCATTCAAATCCCTTTCAATCGCCCCCATGCGTAACCCGAGCCCTATTTTAGAAATAACTACGGTGGAAGGTCTACTAAACCGCGCTATTTCTGGCTTGGAACAAGACCAGCCTGCTAGGAGGGAGCAGCATCTGGAAGTAGCCAAACAGATTGATGCATTTATTCGCTCCCTACAAGAGCTTAAGGAGCTGGACAAACCATTCACTCTGGTAGGGACTGGGGCTAAAAGGAGGCGAAATCTAAGTGTTTGAACATGTCTGTCCAAAAACCTCGACGGTCTCTTAGAATTTGCCCATTTCTCTTCTTACATATTTTTGTGAATCTTTTGCAGATTTTAGAAGACATCAGTGGCAACAGTTTCATCGAAAACTTGAGCGCCCCCAAAAGCGACCCGCAGTGCACTTACGAATATTTCCGGAGAAGTCCTGAACAGGATCGCGAATTAGGGATTTTCTCTCACGAGGAAGTGACTGGGGAAAAGTCAATTTTGCACCCGATTAAGGAGGGCGAGTTCACTCTTGAGGACATTGAGAGCGAAGTCCTGCGCTTTGCCACTAATTGCTCCAATTGCGGAGCACCGTGTGAGACCAACATGAAGATGACCAGTATTCTTTTGCCCCAAAAATTGACCATTTGGCCTCAGTGCTTCAGATATATTTCTTAACAGTTAGCGTAGACATCCCCCATTTCAAGGAAGTGGTTATTATGGCCACTAGTTGTGATGCCTGCGGTATCAGGACTAACGAAGTGAAGTCAGGGGCGGGAGTTGAGCCCCAGGGGGTGCACATTGAGGTGGAAGTGAGGCGCAAAGAGGACCTAACCAGGGATGTTTTAAAGGTGGAATTCATCAGCGATTTTGGGGGTTTTACTGGGGGTTGTTTTGCAGTCCGACACTTGCGACTTGGAAATTCCGCAGCTCGAGCTTACAGTCGGCCCCCATGCTTTAGGGGGCCGATTCACTACCATTGAAGGCTTGATTACAGCGATGAAGGACCAGCTGAACGATCCTGCAACGTCACACATTTTCGGCGATTCCAAGCAAGATAAAACTAAGCAACAATTTGAGCAGTTCCTGAGCAAACTGGATGACATTCTGGAAAATAAAGTGGTGGCCACGGTAGTTCTAGACGATCCCTGCGGGAACAGCTACATTCAGGTATGTGGTCCATTTAGTTGATGGTTTGGACCGTAAATTGGGGCCCTTAGAGCATGAAAGATGGCGATGAGACCGACGATCAACTGAAGATCACTCACTACGAAAGGACATTTGAGCAAAATGAAGAACTAGGACTCAACGACATGCACACGGAGAACTACACGAATTCATAGAAATAATAAAAGCCACGAGGCAAAAGCGAAAATTGAAATATTTTTATTGTTGCCCTAAGTCCATATGGTAGTTCGTCTAGTATGCAGGTTCAGGAGTTTGCGTTTTCAATATTCCAAAGCGTGTTTTAATGATGATTCTCGGCTTCGAGTAGGAATCCTCTGGGGAGAAGCGAGCTGCAAAAAACGCCGGTTGAAACATGCAAATTAAACCAGCCAAACGTTAAACTCACCAGGGTGGGCCGATTCAGTTGGGACGCCTTTGGGGCCCACTTTCTGAAAAACGTGCTTTGAAGAGAATATCGTTCAAGTAGCATTGAATCTTACCTGCAGCGTATACACGCGCTTTCCAGTGTCGTCTATGTAATACATTAGATACATTTTGATGGGGGATTACTAGAAATTTTTAGGGCTGCGGCCACTATTCTGCTCAAGGCTCAAGGCTTTGCAACACGTTTTGTTTACAGTTTGCACGTTGACAATGACAGCTTGGATAAAGACAAGTCTAGGCTATGGTGGTTTTAGAGCACTGCCTTCGAACTGCGGGAAATTTGAATGTTGGTGCTCAAATTTTCTGTTTGCCAATAGTTTTATGTTTGCCGATTAATGTTGAAAATTTTGGCTTTGTTTGGGAGGTTTTGACAACCTTGAGAGGATTTAGTGCAGCAATTAGGCGCAGTGCTTGACTTTAGCGTAAATAATCATTCTTCTGGTTTTCCACTGTCACTAATTGGCTTTTGGGTTATTAAAATGGGGTTGGTTATTGATGTAAACATCGAGTAAATTTTGCAAGAAAAATGAAAAACTTAAAATTGCTCCAGCTGCCAGAGGGAGAGAGAGACAAGAATAGAGACTGTGTGGGATGTCTAGTGGGTAATATAATAGCAGCGCTTTGCTTTTAATTGAAAATAATTACTTATTTAATTTCAATATTTTGCTTATAGCTGAAATCTGTCGTCACTGATCGGAACCCGCGTGTAACTTTGCGTTAAAAATAATAAAATCTGAGTAATCAAATTAGCGACAACAAGAGAGAGAGAGAAACTGATTTGAAGTAACAGCTGGCGTAAAACGAGAAAACTGTCTGCCAATTGTCAGCGCGTCCTGTCAAAGTTGTGTCTATTCCTTTTTTTGTAGTTTTTAAGGAATGTCCGGTGAACCTTTTTAATGTTATCATTAGCAAGTTTTCCGATTTTCCCGTTGTAAAAGTGCGATTTTCCAGTGTAGCAATCGATTGGACGACTTGGCCATATATTCCGGACCGTTCCCGTGTTGTTGGCCAACTTATATGCTAATTCACGTCGTGGCGTTTCATGTTTTGTTAATTTATTATTGTTAACGGGTATTTACGTGCACGGAATTCCTGCAGGAACATCTTGGCATAATGGTAAGCTCTAATCGGGATCGGGAAAGATCTGCCGCCGCTCGAGCCCTGGAACCGGTTGCTTTACATTCTTTTGTGTTTCAGGATGTCAAAGTGAAAACGGAAAAGGGACGTAATGGTGAAGGTGATGGAGAGGTGAGTTGTATTATCGCTTGTTCTTGATAATATCGTTTACATCCAGAAATGTTTGATGCGGAATTCGGCATGTATAAATAGAATGTTTGGCCACAGTCTGCGACTGTGGGGAGGCTTCCAGCAGGCGGAACTCAACCACGAGCTACTAAGTCTCGGTTGGTTCACTTGGGGATGTTCCGACGGTCCCACTTTGAAGCGTCTTCAAGCCCCATCCGACTCGGTCAAGGCACACAGTTGGAAGTCTAAAAATAGCGCCCTAATCCAGTTCTAGTGTGGCGAATCAATTATTCCGAGCTGCTTAGACATTATGTAAGCTCGTTGAGGTGGACCCCCTATTGTGGCGCCGTTGTTTACACTTTTCCGCTTGACTGTAGGCGGTTGCATATTTTTGGCAGAACACACTGTTTTTGTTTTGTACGGTGCTGCATCGGTCGCCCTCACTGCTTTTCAACAATAACGCGCCCAGTTTGCTCGTCCAAGTGCGTGGATTTCGTCTACCACCAGTCCACAAGTGATTTTTGCCTGCAAATCAACCCAGCTAACAGCATGGATATCAGTGCGATTTTTCGCAAACGAAAAAAGAGCATCTTTGAGTGGGTAAGCTGGGGCTGGCTTCAAAGCTACAGCCTTCCACTGTTTATTCATTCAGTCCAAACAATGTGGGTTTCACGAGGTTTAAGGCTGGCGTGTATGAGAGAAGACAGCCACTGTTTGTTTAAGTTAAATGTTGCTGTTTTGGCTGTGTGAGGCGAATTATTGCGACGTGTTTTGATTGGGATTTGCGTGGGTATCAAATCTGATTGTTCCGCGAGTTCATCATCAGATTCTATTAGCTCGTGCCGTTGCAATTAGTTGCTTTGTTGGACACTCATCATGGAATTAATTGACGCTTTTCACACACACTGAATGGAAAATTCACTTGTAATGATTGTTTTCAGCCGAAAATCAATTTGCATCAGGGCCCGCCACCTCCGACGCCCCTGAACAAGACCAAATTAACGGCGGGTGTCATCCAGGGGCCCCTTATTAAGAAGGACAAGCGGCATTCCAGCTCCCGGTTCAATGTCAGCAAAAATATGGAACTGCAGATGCTGACAAAGTTAAAGGGTGAGTGCGTGCTCGATTTCCAATCGCCCTGGTGGCTGTTTTTTTACTGTAAAACGCCATAGGCCTTTCGGGGCACCCCTCGTAGTTTATCGACTAGTAAGGGAAAACGTGTGAAGACGCATGCCCTGCGGTCTGAAACGCCGCTCTGTTGCGAATTTCCCGAAAAAGCCGTTTATTGTCTGGAAAATTGCCTGGAACTGGGACAGCAGGGAGAAAGTGATTGGATGTTTCAAGCTGGCAACCGGGCAGATCCATTAATCCATATCCTCACTTGAGTTTTTCGGGATTGTCGTTTTTCATGCACGCATTTTGCCGTGCAGTTTTCTTATCCGGCTTACAATGTGAACCGAGTCGTGCAAAATTCCGTTCCAGCTTGTTCCCTTTAGCCTGTGAGGCAGCTGTTAACTCGGATCCTGTTAAGCTTGCAGGATAAAGCCGAACATCGAGCATTAAAACAAACCTAATTTAAGTCCTGCTATCGATTGAACAATTTACTTAACTGTACCTCTTAACTGTTTTATAAGCTTGAGGCAACTTCATTAAAAAATAATTAATGATACTTGTCGTACATGGAGGTTTTTTCCATGCAGCGACAAGTCTGGTTAATTGTTTAGCATTTCGGGAAATAATGGTTTTGGTGGCTTAAGCGTCCGAATCCCTTTCAGAGCCTCAGCAACACAACAAGTATTTATTGCGGTTTGATTTACTAGAATTGTGCCCGCTATGCGGGCCCATTGCTGAGTGGTAAAATGGTGCATTCATCGATATATCATCAGGTATGTTTGGTTTTTTGGCTCCTTTGTGCTCTGAAAATCTTGTTTTAATCCGCATTTCTGATAGAATCCGGCCTTTTTACCAGTGAATGCAAGATTTGCCCGAATGTGCTTTGGTTTGGATAAGGAAAATGAGCCCCTTTAGGGGAATGAGACTAAGACGATATGCAGCCTGAGATTTGGAATTTTGTTAAAAATCAGCCTCCACTTCGGTTCTTTTTAAATTTTCAGCGTTTGTTCACTTAGTGTCTTCTATCAGTCTTAGAGACTGCAAGTCCGAATTTGCGTTGGCTTGGATAAAGGAAATTTTGGAAATTTAGTCAGCCTTACACGACAAGCAGCTTCAACTTTGATAATTTCTGAAAAATCCGCCTTTGCTTCACCCTGCTGCAAATTTTGCGCGTTTCTTCGTTAAAGTGTTCTTTATCAGTCTTCGAGCTAGAATGAGTCAGAAGTCGCTTTGATTTGGGTCGAGGAAAATTTGGAAAACTTACTGTTATGGGGAGCGTTTTACGACACACAACTTGGGCTTTGATAGTTTCTGAAAAATCAACCTCCAGCTTAAGGGAGTTGATATTGTATTAGACAGTATTTTTTTAAATGTACAGCTTTGCTTTATGATGAATATAATATTGTTTCAAGAGGAGACTGGGCGAAATTTACGTTTGCCTCCACTAATCAGAAATGCTTTATCCGATCGGAGAACAGTTTCCACATGTGCTAAAACCCGACTTTCCTCTCTAACAGCTTCATTATCTGTTTTTCATGCCTTTCCTCACATAACAGTTTCTATTTAATCCGAATCCCGACGCGCAAAAACTCGCAGAGCCCTGGATAAAGGAAATTTTGGAAAATTACCCTCCTTGGATTAGTCAGCCTTACACGACAAGCAGCTTCAACTTTGATAATTTCTGAAAAATCCGCCTTTGCTTCACCCTGCTGCAAATTTTGCGCGTTTCTTCGTTAAAGTGTTCTTTATCAGTCTTCGAGCTAGAATGAGTCAGAAGTCGCTTTGATTTGGGTCGAGGAAAATTTGGAAAACTTACTGTTATGGGGAGCGTTTTACGACACACAACTTGGGCTTTGATAGTTTCTGAAAAATCAGCCTCCAGCTTAATGCGCCTCAAATTTTCACTGTTTGTGCATTTATCAGTCGTAGAGTTCGCTTTGTTTTGAAAACTGAAACTTTTGCAAAATTAGCGACTCTGGAAGCATTCCACGACAAACAGCTAAAACTTTAATAGTTTCTGAGAAAGAATCCTCCCAATCGGCTGCAAAAGTTCAGCGTTTGTTCAGTAAGTCGAAGAGCCTGCTCTAAATATGCAGCATTTGTTCACCAAAATACACTATTTGGTCCAGAAGCCTAAAAGATTTCAAATCCGAGTTCGTTTTGGTTTTGGCGAATGTTGGAAAACGCCCCCCCATTGGGAGCAAGTCGCCTCAAATTTACCCACATTTCCACTCATATGAATGAATGAGCTTTGACCCTTTTAGAGCAAATAATCAACAACATAAGTGTGTTCTTTTTTTGCGCAAGAGCTGGCAACAGTTTCCCAGCGCTCAGCTAACTGGAGGCATCCCAAAGTCGCCCTCATTCCACAGCGGTCTCGATCTATTGGTGGCCTCCGCCAGCGTTGATTCCCTCAAAGCCTACGCCCTCGATCACGCCGAAATGACCGATCAGAGCGCAGACTTTTACGGTTTGTCCTCAATTCTAGTTGTTTTGCCTAAACTCTAGTCGCGTGCATTCCCAAGGCTTGAACGGATCGGAATCGTGCGCTCCCGACCTGATCCGAAACGGCTTTAGAAACACCAGCGCTGAGCGTCCGCCCCCCATCAAACAGTTGCCTCTGTTGAAAGGTATGATGGCTTATGGCGTTTTATCGTAACCATTGACTATTTTCGCTAGACTGTCGCTAATTTGCTGATTTCGGGTTTGCTGTGTAGAAGCGCCAGCTTCGGAGCGCGAGGAACTCTTCGTCCAGAAGCTGAGGCAGTGTTGCGTGCTGTTCGATTTCGCGTCGGATCCCCTCTCCGACTTGAAATGGAAGGAGGTGAAACGCACGGCCCTGACGGAGATGGTGGAGTTTGTTACCGAAACCAAGGGCTTCAACACGGAGAACGTTTATATGGAGGCTATTAACATGGTCAGTAGCAGCAAGCAGAACCCTGCAAACATGTTGGGACGTTGAAAGAGTTACCAAAACATAAAAAACTGATTTTTCAGTTTGCGGTGAACCTGTTCCGGACGCTGCCGCCCTCATCGAACCCCAATGGGGCGGAGTTCGACCCCGAAGAGGATGAGCCCACCTTGGAGGCGGCGTGGCCCCATTTGCAACTGGTTTACGAACTGTTTCTCCGGCTGCTCGAGTGTCCCGACTTCCAAGCGAACCTGGCCAAACGCTTCATCGACCAGAAGTTTGTGCTGCAGCTGCTGGAACTGTTCGACAGCGAAGATCCCCGGGAACGCGATCTGCTGAAGACGACCCTCCACAGGATATACGGGAAATTTTTGGGGTTGCGCGCCTTCATTCGGAAGCAAATCAACAACGTTTTCTATCGGTGAGTATGCGTGGTGTTTTCGTGCACTTTTCAACCACAGCCGTTTTCCTCGAGTCGAACTCTTGAGAACGTATGCATATAGCTACATTGTTTTCCGGGCATTTCGGAATGTGGAAAGTACATTTGGAAGAGGGAAGCAGTCAAGTTGTTCCGTTTTTTTGGGAATTTTGATCATTTAGAAAATTCGGCTTGTTTGAAGCCGACGAAAAGCTAGTTATTGTTTCGGATTAGGTTTCAGACTCTTGAAGGAAAACGGTAAATTTTCAAACATCTTGGGAATTACATTTAGGAATGTTTTCCGGGCTTTGAAGCCGTGGTCCATGGGAATTTCTTCCTGACGTTTCGTCCACAACTGCGCTGGACATTATCAAAGGCC